AAGCTCAAGGTGATTAGGATGCAATGATCTGAACTGAGGAATTTAGCATGTAGGAAGTGCGCAGTAAGTGACCTGTGCCTTTATGTTCTGAGCTCACAGTAGTGAGGAGCGTGGTGGCGTGCATGTGGAGCTAAATGTTCGTGTCCATCTTTACTTCCCCCCCACTGTGTTGCTGTGAGTTTTTGTTGTCTCATGTGTCATGTGAGATAGTGGAGCGGCACCCCAGCTTCTTCTTTCCGAGCTGCTGTGACAAAATACCCTGAGAAAAGTAACTTAGGATGAAGAGTTTATTTTAGCCCACGGGTCCAGGTTACAGTCCGGCATAGCCAGGGAGTCATAGCAACCAAAGCTGGGGGAGCTGGTCAGATGGCATCCGCAATCAGAGAGCAGAGAACACATACAGGTTTGTGCTCAGCTCTGTCTCTGCTCTTAGGCAGATTGCCCGCTGAGGGAATGATGCCACTCACTCTACCCCAGTTAATAGATAATCCCACATAGACAAGCCCATACACCAACCTGATCTATGCCATAACTCACTGAGATTCTCTTTCAGTTGCTTCTAGATTGTATCACATTGACAATTAAAGCTAGCCATTACAGATGGCATATACCAAGACGTTGATGTAGATGTTCTCCAAAACACTAGCTCTGTATTGTAGCTTTGCATGAAACTTGAGCTAACAATTTGGTGACATCATCAAGAATCTACTCCTCACAGAGTGCGGTAGCCAACACCTTTAATCCCTGCACATAGAAGACAGAAGCAAGCGGATCTCTGTAAGTTTGAAGCCACCCTGGACTACATAGCAAGTTCTAGGCCAGCCAGAGGACAGTGTGAGGCCCTGTCCCCCAAACAAAACAAGCAAACAAGTAGGCAAGCAAAAGAGCAAACACACATCTCATCATCTCTCTGCCTTTATGTCTGTCACCTACGTTGACCTATGCGTTGGCTTCTCTGCAGCTTACAAAACGGCTGGGTGTGGATGGTCCAGCAGAAAAGTGAACTACTTCATTGTGTTGTTTTGCTCAAAAGCCCTAATACTGTTTCTTAAAACTGGTTCTTATTTTAAATCTATTTCCAAGCCAATCCTTGCAGCCAGGGGTATGGGAGGTAGTGGTTGGCTAGGTATACCTCCATGTGCTTCTTTCTCAGGACTGGAGTGTAGTCATCTCCCCAGAATTTGATGGGTCTTCAAAGTCTCACCCAGGGGGGTTGGTTGTCCTCAGAGTGTTTGTATCTCTGAGTTTTAGACTAGAGCACAGAGCTGTCTCCATCTGCCAGTTGAGTTGATCTTTGTTTTGACGTGGAAGGACATCTTGTCTTAGCTTCTTCAAGAAACCATATGGTCGTCTTTTGCATTCATTCTTGGCTTTGTTTCTTACAGAGAAAGAGGAATTTGGTTTGAGTTCATGGTCTTTTTTTTTTCATGGCTGTTTCTACTAGTAGCTTTCATGGAAGCTGCTTTCCAATACCTTCTGGTGTTTGTGTGTCACTTAAAGCAGGACTGAGCTTCAGCCTCTTTCAGAAATAAAACTAATGTGGATTTTGGAAGTTGGCTAAATCTACTTCCAGCTATGTAAGCAGACATTTCAAGGTTTCTGGGAATCATCTTTTCTTCTGCAAAAACAGATTGCTGAGACAACTAGCTCACAAAGCTGCTACGGAACTTGTGTTGGGATGTTTTCTGTTATTGTAACAAAATCTTGGAGGCTGGGTCTTTCCTAAAGAAAACAGATTTTTTTTTTTAAAAAAAAAAAAAAGGTTACGGTTTTTAAGGCTGCAAGTCCCAAGTTGGGTAGTCCCTTTGGTTCACTTTCTGTGGTGACACGCCAATGGCAGATGGTGCTGTGGTGGGAAGGACAGCATGGTAAGCCCGATGCCAGAGTGTGGGGAGCAGCCAGGCTTGCTCTTTTATAAAACACCTGTCTTGAGGACCAACTGAGGCCCTGCGAAAAGTGCACCAATTCCTTCCAAGGGCAAAACAACTAGGGACCTACTTGCACCACCACTTTCCCAATCTTAAAGGCTCTAATGCTACCTGATATTTTCCTAGTAGGACCATAGTCCCAACATACGATGATTATTTGGTATGTATCAGGGCACATTCAGGACATGTTCAAGCCATAGCAAGACTCAAAATATGTGAGTAGAGAATTTCATAGCTGGAGGTCACATGAGGCTGTGCTGTCTGCTCTTCACAGATGGATCATTTAGAACCCCACATAGAGTATCCAACCTCACCTTTACTCTCCTCATCGAAAATAATTTTTTTTTATCTGTTTCCTCCCGCTAGAATATAAGGTTCATGAAAGCAGGACACACATATATCTGCCTGATTGTAGGTTACTGTTGTGAGAAATTGAGGCCACTGTTACCGAGGATGCTCAGAGAGACAAAAGAGACCTCCAAGATTCCCTACTGAGAGGGGAAGGATGTGGGGTATTAATCCACCAAGTCCCAATGGTCTCTCATTACAGACATTGGTGACATATTTATTCTGCCCTGCCCTGCCCACAGACAGAGTGGGACTCTCATGGTCAGAGTAATTCTATGCAGGAGACACCCACCCCACAAAAGTCTTGGTAGTTGGTAGCGGTTGAGCCCACCTGCATGGTGATGGCAAGTGCGGAGTGAATGGGAATATGGATAAGGCACTCATGGTACCTATTACACGGTTAACTGGTTAAATGGTTAAATGGTGCCAACCCAGCCAGGACAGCCCTCTTCCTTCTGTCTGATTATTAATTTGAAGAGTGATTTGAATACCCCCCCTTTCAATTTTCGTCTGAACATTTTGAGGGTGCTCAGGGCTCATTTCAGTTTCTTATGTGTTGCCTGGCTAACACAGGGATAGAGATACCAATCCTTCCTTTAGCTTAGAGTGGGGCTTCTCAACCTTAGGTACACACCGGTGTCACCTGGAGAGCTTGAAAGCAGCCTGCTGCTCAGGGCTCCACTACTAGAGATCTTGCCTCAACCTATCCGGGATAACGTCTCTTCATTTAACATTTCAAAAAATGTCACTGTCTCTGCTCCCCAGGGACTAATGACACAATATGAAACACTTACTCCATAAGCAGATAATGCAAGCATCTTTGAAGGTCAAACTGTCTAACTTCATACACAGCTTGATTTGATAGTTCATGATGTCATTAAGGTCTCAATTTCTTTTATAATTACATCTCTGCCTCGTTTTATATGATTGACATGTGTTTCCTTAGCCCTTTGGCTGGCAGAAAAAAAATGCTTGGAATGCCTAAATAGATACCAGCATATCTTAGGGAGTGTTCCTTCCTTTTCATGCCCAGAAGAGAAAACATCTTTGTCCTGTTATTCCCAGCACAAGTTTTGAGATTCTTGCTGTTTAACCAGCCCAGGCTTCACTCAACCTGAACTCAGTTGTTATGGCCAAGAGTAGTTCATATCATAAGCTCCATTCTAGAGGTGGGTGTGGTCATTTTTTCATCTTAGCCCTTAATGCACAGTACAACTCCAGTGTAATGTCTAAATGTGCTGGTGCCCAGCCTCTAACCTCATTCTTTGATGTGTCTTGGGTCATAGGCATTGGTATTTTTCAGAGGTGGCTCTGAGGTGCAGCTAGGGCAGAGAACCACTGCCCCAGACTTCATATAGCTTAGTGATGCAGTGTGGACCACATAGAAGGGCCATGGATACAGATGCTCAGCTTGAATCCAGGAAGATGCCTCGCTTGGGACAAGCTAATGTCTAGCAGGGGTCAAATGTCTTATAAGGTCACATGACCATACCCAGGATACTTGAATAGAGGAACAAAGGTGTGGACCAAACAGTTCCCAACTAGGAAAGGAGATATCCAATGACCAACACGTTGGGAGTAACTCATGCACACAGGTTCTGTGGTAGCCTGGTCCTGCTATAGGCCCCCAGATTCTAGCTACATCTCCCTTCCCTCTGCCAGCTTCCTCATCTGGTAAGTGGCTTTGAAGAATACCCATGAGTCACAGTTTTGTCAGTTTAACTCAGGCAAAGATAATCAGAGTTGAAGAATTGCCTCCATTGGACTGGCCTGAAGATATGCCCGTGGGGATAGTTTCTTGATTGCCGATTGACACGTACGGGCCCAGCCCATTGTGGATGGTATCATCCTTAGACAAGTGAGCCTGGGCTGCTTAAGAACGTGAGCTTTGGTCTCTGATTCAGTTACTGCCTTGGCTTCTCCTGATTGAGATGGACTACAAAGTGTAAGATGGAATAACCCCTTTCCTTCCCAAGCTGCTTTTGGTCATTGTGCTTATGACCATAACAGAGAAGAAACCAGAACACATCTCCTGACTACAAATGACTGAGATTTGTGGGAAATGCTCTCAGTTTCTTGAATCAAGGAGAATCCTCTTACAGAGTGGGGGGTGTTATATGAAGGTCCCCTTACCCCTCTGAGCAGCAGGGTTCTCATAAGTAAAACCAAGACTCTACCTTCTGGGATGTTCTACCATGAGCATGAAGTAAGAGAATGTCTACAAAACTTTCAAGCTGCCCTTGACAGATAATAGCGCTTCCATAAATCTATTCAAGGATGCTCCTGTTAGAAAAAAATTTAGTGTGGTGTCACTGGGAAAACTAAGATGCATGATGTTGACCTCTAGTAATCATTTTATGGTGGTAAGACAGAACTCCTTAATCAATCTTTGAACTCCACACCCTTAGCAAAGAGGCCTGGTCCTTTTTAGCTCTGTATCCCCAACAGCAGCACATGGGACTCTGGGGTTTCTATCTTGGAGTCTTGGGAGTGGCAATCTTACTAGACAGGAGCTGTTGTAAAAAGCTTTGTTTTGACGTTGCATTTGCATATGGTCACAGCACCTGCAGTTGGGTTCAATGTTACTGAGGATAGTTTAAGGGTGAAGGCACTGTGGCCCCAAGAAAGTAGTAGGAACCCAAGGTCAAATGGGTGGACTAGCCATCCTTTGTCACAACTTACCTCTTCTGGGCAATGAAGTCATGGAAGAAGGGATTGAGAGTGTACGAAATAGTTGTGTTTATTGATTAGAACAGGGTATAAAAGTACAGCATTTTGCAGGCATTCTGGACCTTCTGGGAGGGGCATGCAGTGTTCAACTTGAGCAGGGAATGGAGAGGAGGGATAGACCACTGGGCAATGGTTCCCCTCCTGGGCATGTTAAGAGACTTGCTCTATGAGCACAGATGATAGTGTGGGAGAATTATTAGTCCCTACCTCTGGAAACAAATGACATGGGCAGTTTGGATCATCTGATAACACCATGCTTAATAATTCAGTCCTATTCTACAAGTATTAGGTGCTGCCTCTCCCAATCTTGGCATGATAAACTAACTGTTCTAACTGTATAACACTCTTTCTTCCCATCAGAGGAAGAGAAACAGGCACATTGGCTTGGGAGGCCATCAGAGGATGGTGTACATTTGGCTCAGGTCCTCTGGCTTCCAGATTCACCAGGGTCTGCCTGACTGGGAGGCAGTGAGTCGGGGCTATGTAAGCATAAAATTGTGCACTATTGTTTAAGCTCAAGCAGAGGGGCCTTCCACGGGGCAGCAGCATGAAGAGATGGGCATGCTCCCAAAACAAACTCAGATTTCAGCTCATCTCTCTCAAGAGGAGTAAGGAGGAAGAGTTGGCAATCAGAGACTGAGCCACTTGATGCCAGATTTTGTAGAAAATCTTCAGCAGAGAATTCTTCCAAAGTGTAAAAGGTATTTCTGTCCCAAGAGTTGGTGTGTAAAATCAGAACGAGGGCAGATCAGGGCATTAAGGTGTTTGTTTGTTCATTGTCTCTGAGAGCAGGATGGCCAGTGTCCTTAGTTACATAACATTTTGGAACAGCTGTAGAGATCTCATGATGTTGTCATCCTGAGGAAGAGAAGAGTGGGAGAGAGGATGGTTAGAGCTGTTTGAGGCTTCTTCTCAAGAGATCAGTAACTGAGCAAACCTCAAGAGTGGGGTTTCTACGTGAAAGGAAATCAGCAGCAGCATTACAAACAGCCTTACAAGCAACACTACAAGGGGTCAAGGTCTAGCTAGCCTTTAGCTCAAGGCCAGAGGCACCATACCGGCATTCAGGAGAGAAAAACAACCTCATGGTTTTTCTTTAAGATGCTCCGTCAATGTGTTGTATGAAATGGTTTTTCACTTCTGTGGAGATAATCACAGTTTTTCCTATTTCCTTGATTACTGTGATTAATTATACTGACTAATTCTTGGATGTTAAACCAACCTTGCAACTTCCCATCTTAAGGCTATGATAGCCTCATCAATCAAACTGGGAAGGTTCTCTGTTTCTTGAGATTAGTATAATTTCTTCCTTAAATGTTTGGAAGCATGCACGATAGGAGCTACTTAAGTCTGTCATTTCTCTGGGGTAAAGTTTTAAATTACAGATTCAATGCCTATGAGACATAAGACTACTTACATTTTTGTTTTCTTTTTGTGTTAGTTTTGAAAAGCTGTGCTTTGTAGGAAACTCATACATCTTATGCAAATTGTCAAAATTAGTGAGGAAAAAAATTACTATATTTTAATATCAGAAAAACTTATAGAAAATGTTATTTTTTTTTTACTTCTGATATCATCAATTTGAGGGTTTAAAAAATCTTTCTCATTTTACTCAGTCTCAGTAAGCATTCATCAATTTTATTAATCTTCAAAGATGTCTTTTAGCTTTGTTTGTATTTGTACTTGTCTGTATTTTATATTTCATAGCATATACTCTCTAAAGTATATTTGAGACAGGGCATCTTCTCTATGTAGCTCTGGCTGTCCTGGAACTCAGAGATCTGCCTGCCTCTGCCTCCTAAGAGCTGGGATTAAAGGTGTGCCCCACCACATATGTCTTTCTAAGGTATAACTATAGAAAGGTGCAAAGTTCTTAATTTTTTCATACTCAGTACCACACTTCTACATTTGAATTAAAATATAATAAAAACATGAAATATTAAAACTTGTGGTGTCTAAAGCTAATGTAGTGCATGTGCGTGTACATATGTGTGTGTGAGTGAGTGTGTATGAGTGTGTGTGTGTGTCCCACTGAGTTTAAGGCTGAGAAAGCAGGATTTTAATAGAGAAAATTAAAAGAGACCAAAGTTATTATGTGGATCTGAGTTTTTGTAAGTTGCTGTGGCTTCTGGAATAAGGCAGCTTGTGCTCAATCCCGGGACCTCTTACTTCCTGCCCATGTTACTTATCCTCTCTGTGCCTTAGTTTCCCCATGTATAAAGTGGGATTGAGTATAATGTCTACCTATTGTGAGGTAGTGAAAAAATGAGTTACATAGGAATAACGGAGGAACACGATCTGAAAATCTCTTTCACCTGGAAACCAAAGTAAAGAAAGAACACTTCTGTTGGGTGTTTGACATTAGCATGATAGCGTTTAAAATCCCTCTCTGCCACTCATTGTAGCATTAACAACACCTCTTAATATTGTGGTGCCACAGTTTTCTATGACAGGCATAGCTGCTTAGTCTGTTCATAATGATTAAATATTTAAACACTTCTAACTCCACAGGTGAAGCTGCCAACCCGATTTTACTCTCTTTCTTAGTGTCCATTCTTCTGGCTGCCTAGGAACTTGATTGGGATCCAAAGACTACTCAAAAGATCTGTCAACTAATGGGTGACCCTCAGGCTGAGCTTGGACAATCCAGGACAATGGTAAAGCTCGGTTAAAAGGGGGCAGGATCCAGTCTGGCCTAATTGTTAGCTGTCTGGAACACCGTCATGTGGGACGTCTGCCTGGAGGGTTTTCATGTGGCCGAAGCTCTTTGGTCAGTGCTCTTTGTGTGTTAATACAGCCTCCTCTACAGCCTGGCATTGCAGTGTTTTTTTTTGGGGGGGGGGGCAGGGGAAGCTTAGGCTGTGCTTTTGTGGAATGAGGTAGAGCATAAACCTTTTAAGTAGTTAGAGCAACTGTTTCCAGTTCAGGGCTGGGCAGGGCACCAGTGACAGTTACTCATGAGATTTAACTAAAGCATAGTCCAAGGAGCAGCACTGTCTCCTGAGGTGTGTGCACAAAGCAAGCCTGGCCTCAGACCTGTGCAGGCCCCACCTGTATTTTAACAGGAACTCTGAGAAGTCTGGTTTGCACAAGTGAGTTCCGGCGGCCTTGGTATTGGGCATTTAAATTACGATGACAATTTCTAGACCCTTCTAGAGTATCTGGAATAGGTTTGAAAACACCCTTTTGGAAGAACTTCAGGCAATTTCACGCACACTGGATTGGGGATCTTGTTGAAGGTGTTCCCGCTGTTCTTTTGTATCTGAGGAAGGGGCACAGAGGCAGAGAAGAGGACAGGGCCACCTATTCGGCAAATCTCATTCCACAATGACCTGCTAGGCCTTCACATCACCCGGACCTGAGCTTCTGCTGTCTGCTGGTCATATGCTGAGCAGGCCTGGCTGAGGCGTGGAGGTGGTGGGATTCCGAGCTCAGGGTCACAGGTGTGTACAGATTTCAGATCCTTACTTCTACAGTCCCCATGCCCCAGATTCCCTCCTCAGAGATACTGTCTCCCGAGACTTCTCCTTACCTCCTGACAGGATTCAAGAAATTCATCTAAAGTTACGATGCCATCTTTATTTTTGTCCATTTTCTGAAAGACACAATAGAGAGGTCCTTAAAGAACCCGGTATTTAACATTTCACAATTTGTTCTCTGTTAATCCTAGAATTAGGAAGGTCTTTTGCTAGCTCCTTGGTTCCTGGTTATAGTATTATGGTCCTCCTGGGCTTCTTTACATCAAAATATTGGTCTCAACACTTACCTCATTGTTACATTATTATTATGCTGACATCCCAACATGTGGTAGTCTGTTTCTGTTATTATAACAAAATAACTGAGGCCAGGTGTTGAATAAAGAAACGAGGTTTATTTATCTTATTGTTCTAGAGCAGTAGTCATCAACCTTCCTAATGCTGTGACCCTTTCATACAGTTTCTCATGTTGTAGGGACTCCCAACCATAAAGTTATTTTTGTTGCTACTTCATAACTTTAACTTTGCTACTGTTAAGACCTATAATGTAAATATTCTTTAGAGATAGAGGTTTGCCAAAGGGGCTGAGACCCACACGTTGGGAACTACTGTTCTGGAGGTCCAAGATCAAGACACCAGTTTCCATCAGGTGACGGCCTCATGGAGGATGACATCATCACAGTGGGCACATGTGGAAGTGGTCACACAACACAACAGGAAGCCAGAGAAAGAGCCAGACTAGCTCATTCGACTCAGCACTAATACCTCTGAGGCAATGTTCCCAAGGACCTAGTCACCTCAATCAGACCCCACCCATTAAGAATTCCATGACCTTAAACCCTGCCATGCTGAGGACCAGGCTTCCATGAACCTTGGCCATACACCCAAACCATTTCCAAACCATAACTGATGTGGTCCTCACACTTCCTGCTTGGCTTCTCTATCTGGCAGAAAGAACACTGGAGAAACAGGCTCTGATCCTTTCCTGTGCAGATTGTCTGTGCAAACTTTCTGTACAAAGAGGGAGGCTTGGGCTCAGTGAGCCCTGAGTTCTTTGGTGCTCTCTGTTGCTAGACTTCTTAAAAGCTAAGTGCAGCTTTGAGGAAACTACTTCTCCACACGGTCATCAGCGGTATCCACCCATTCCCTACTGGATCGAGGCTGAACTCTCCCACTTACAGTTCGTTCAGTCTCACTTTACCCTGGTTTCTAATTTTTGTTCCCCTTTTCAGCCCAGACAAACATGCTCAATAAGTACACAGAGGGGATGAATAAAGTTTTCTCCATCTACTCTGCTCCTGCAAGTATGATATTTACCATAGTAAATATCATAAAAAAAATATGCTCCCTGTTCTCTTCTGTAACACACTGTTCCACCTCGCAGGAGCATCTCCCGGCCAATCAGTGTAAGCCCCTGTGTAGGTGCGTACGTACCTGGAAGAAGACGTCCACGTGCTGCCTGGGAGTGTCCTCTTTGAGCACAGGGTAGGTGTACTTCCCCATCATGTCGTAGATGGCTTTGACTATGTCCATCATCTCCTGGAAGGGGACATGGAAGAACACACTGTTGGGACCGTAAGGTCAAACCTTCTTAGGTGACAGCATTTAGGATTTGCTAAGGGTCCCTCTAGCCAAGCAGAATGGCTAAGAGGACCTCTTAGTAGGGAGGGACAAGACAAAACACCTTTCTCAGGGAAAGTGGGGGAATCCTCTCTGCCTTCAGGCATCTTGAGTAGGTGACACTTACGTTCTTTGTCCCCAGTGAGGGATGGCACTGGATTCCCCATTTGCAGGTTGAGAAAATGAAGCATTGTTCTAACTTACAGGTTAGTGGATATTTTAGACCAGCCTTTAAAACATCCTCACAGCTTCTCTAGGACTATAGATTTTAGTATGTTTATCCTATATTATATGGCTAATATTCACTTATGAGTGAGTATATACCGTGTGTCTTTCTGCTTCTGGGTTATCTCACTCAAGATGATCTTTTCTAGTTCCCACCATTTGCCTACAAATTTCATGATTTCCTTGTTTTTAATAGCTGATCTATACTCCTAAAGAAGCTAAACAACAAGGAAGATCCTAGTGAAAATGCTCAGTCCTCATTCAGAAGGACAAATGCGATAGACATTGGAAGCAGGAGAAGACAAGGAACAGGCCAGGAGCCTACCACAGATGGCCTCTGAAAGACTCTACCAATCGAGGTATGGAAGGAGAGGCTGCCAAACTTTGGGCAGAGTGCAGGTAATTTTATGAAAGAAGGGGAAGACAGAAAGACCTGGAGGGGACAGGAGCTCCAAAAAGAGACCAACAGAGTTAAAAAAAAAAAAAAAAAAAAAAAAAAGCTGAGTCCTAAAGGCCCTGCAGAGACTGATACCCCAACCAAGGACAATGCATGGAGAGGACCTAAAACCCCTACTCAGATGTAGCCCATAGACTCAGTCTCCAAGTGGGTTCCCTAATAAGGGGAGTAGGGGCTTTTTCTGACATGAACTCAGTAACAGGCTCTCTGATCACCTTCCCCTGGGTGGAGGGTGCAGCCTTGCTAGGCCACAGAGGAAGACAATGCAACCAGTCCTGATGAGACCTGATAGGCTAGGGTCAAATAGAAGGGGAGGAAGACCTCACCTATCAGTGGACTAGAAAAGGGGTATAGGGGGAGAAGAGGAAGGGAGGGTGGGATTGAGAGGCGAGGAGGGAGGGGGACACAACCGGGATACAAATGGAATAAATTGTCATAAATGATAATAATAATAAAAAATTTAAAAACATACTCACAGGTTCTATTGCTATTTTAAGTTAAGAAAAAAAATGTAACCAATATAAGGATTACCCACAGACACTGAGGTTTTCTCTAAACCTACAATTAATAAGTTTACTAATTATAAGAAAAGTTTAAAAAACCAATACAGAAGGCTAATGTATACTTTTCACTCCGTTTCCCTTAATATTAAAACAGGTAAAACTCTATAAAAATGGTCAAACCCAGGAAATTGACGTTGCTACACTATTATTTATTAAACGGTAGTTTGTTTATATCTATCTCATCCGTTTTCCCACTGATATCTTTTTCTACTTAAGACTGCATTTGTGTCAAGCTGTGTGTCTTCGTGTTTTCAGGACCTTGTCGTGTGTGATGAGAGTGCTGCTCAGCTCTTTTGTAGCCGGTCTCTCAGCTTGGGCAGGCTTTGGAGAAGCGATGGGTGGTCCAGCCTCACCAAAGCACCATCAGGGTGGGCCATGCTGTGGCTGTGTCTTGTGACTGGCGGTTCCTTGATTAAGGGGTTGTCTGTCAACTCTCTGATTTTAGTGTCTGTCAACACACCTTGACAGCAAACATGATCTCTGTGGTATTTGTTTAATGAAAATTCTATGTTTTTCTCTATGTTTTAGATGAGAGATTTAAAAAAATTCTCTCAGATTCTGTTGCTGTTTCAAATTAGGACAGGGGAGCCAACAGCCAATATCCATAGGGAACCTGAGGCTTTCTTTACTTAAGTGACTCATAATTGTAGACATCCTGGAATACTTCTGAAAGTCAGAGGTCTCTTCTCTTCATTTGTTTATGTACTTAGTTCTTTGGATTTGTGGATTTTCTATTGGTGACAATTTGATATTATCATGTTTTATTTTGTTGATTAAATTGCATTTGCTTTGGCTTTTTAAAACTCCTCTAGGCTGATGCCTGGAGTTGTTTGACCTGTCCCGATCAGGATTCAGGTTCATTTTCTATTTCTCCTTTCCTAGTCCCAAGACACACAGCTCTCTAAGGAAACTTGCTCCTTTTTTTTCTCTTTAATTAAAGAAAGGTGTTTAAAAAAATTGATCGGGGTGTCCTCAGGTGTCTCCCCCAACATATAGAGCTAGGAAATGGGTTTGTATGCACATATTCATTTCACAAGGTGCATTTTACTAGCCCTTTACACCCATGTGGCCTTTGAGCTCTTTTTTACTTGAGAACTTTTATTAGAGAAGGGAGAGAAAAAAATTCTTTTGAATGCTTGTGATTCTCATTGCCTGCAAGTTTGATAAGAATGTACTAGCATGCTTGCTAGGAAGAGGTCTTAGAAAACTACCTACCCACACTGGTGCCCACACTTCATTAATTCTGCCGTCTAAAATGTCTGACAGACATTAGTGGTGAAAACTCTGCCTGCTTTGCCCATTATAAAAAGGGAGTAGTTTGTAAGATTACTCAGTTTGGAGGGCATGTGGAACTCTGCCTTCCTTGGAAACCCCTCTAGTGGCTGTTCCTTCTTCCTGTGCCCCTTTCCCTCATTTTGGGTGTGACTGGCTCTGGTGTGGCAATACCGTCTTAGAGAGGTCCTTGCTGACTCTTAACAAAACATCCACCTCTCATTCTGAAGCCTGCTGTTACTGTCCATCCCACTACACTGCTCCGTGACAGTCAGAGCTGGTCTGATTGCTCACCGTTTTTGTCTCCAGCACCCAGGAAACTGAATGAGTTCTCAGATCTGTGTGGAGAACCCATGACTGAACCAATAGGGAACTCTGCTGTGTATGTACTCTGAATGGGAGTCCTCCCTCTACGTGAGGGAGAACCTTACAGTGTTGAGGTGAAGGTTAGAGATGATCTTCACGGTTCCAGGCGTCATGCTTGAGATACAGGAGCTCAGCAAGATGACGCACCAGATGTTATTGTCAAGGCCCCAGGTTTGCAGGAGACGCCCAGGTGACCTGAGTGATAGTCCATGGGTGGTTCACTGGCTAAACACATGTAGCAAGATTTAGTGAAGCAGTGAGGAATCTGAAATTCTCTGGTTTTGTTTGTTTGTTTGCTTGTTTTGTTTTTGAGACAGCTGCCTACCACCCCAATCGTTTCTTTCTTTGGTTTTGTTAAGATGAGGGGAATGGGCTCCAATGACTGTCACCTCCGCCTTAAAGAACTCTTTGTTCTCTTCTGGGCACTTCTTGCAGCCTTCCATGCTCACCTTGAGCTTTAATGCCAGGCTGCTAACCAGTGGGAATGCAGGTTCCCTGGAGAGAAGACTCTGCCCCGAAACAAGACAATGCCAGCCCATCACATCTGTGTGAGCTTGTGAGAAATGGCTTGACACTTTCCTAGGCACTAGGGCAGGATGGAGAGGGGAGATATCAGCAGTGGGCTTCTTCATTTTTGCTAGGGATGGACTCGGTTTCACTCAGTGTTTTCCCTGGTTTTGGATTGCTTTTGATTCCGTCACTTTCACTGTGCCCATCTCACGTCTCCTGCTCTCAGCTCAGCTCACTTACCTCTTTGTTTATGTAGCCGTCTTTATTGATGTCATACAAATTAAACGTCCACCTTAGTTTTTCATGGACTGTCCCTCTCAGCAAAATGGACAGAGCAGTCACAAAGTCCTAAGATGTGGAAAGGGTAGGTGTAACATTAATCACTGAGCCACTGCATGGATTCAGCGGAGCCTGACCTCCAGGTTGGATTACACGCTTTTACAAAATGGCACCTCCCACATCCTCTTGTCAGCCAGATGGAAACGACCATTCCTAGTGAAGGATTCCTGTCTTCCATTCCCCATACCTACACCGTTGCAGTTTCTGATGCCCCTTGAGGAAGACTAGAGCTCTGTATGTGTGAGGCACTTCTAGGCAGTTAATTCTGCCTCCCATAGCTGCCATGGTTGCTTAACATCTGAGGGACTGTATATTCTGATGGCTATGACACAGGCCGAGGAAACATACCATCTGTGTTCAAAAGCCTCCTTGGCTACTCACTCACTCTTTGACCTTGGGAAAGCTACTCAGTCTCTCTGCCTCATTTTCTTCTTCTTTAAGATGACAATAAATGATAACATGACCCTGCTTAGTAGCACTAATATAAAAGCTAAACAGGTTAATAAATGCAAAAAGCTAGGACCAAAGGCTACCGCCAGGTATGCAGAGCACAAGGGAGCTCTTAAGGTGTCTACACCCCATTCCCAATGTCTGGATGACAAGGAAAGCCTCTTCCCTGTCCTCAGGTCATGTTTGCTAAATGAATAGTTTCTTGTCTTAACTGAAGGTATTTGATAATTAACCCTTTCCTCCGGGGTCCCAGATTTGGAGGGAGAGGCAATGTAGAACCAGGGAACACCCAGACTGGACCCATGTACTGTACCTCGAACTTCACAGAGCCTGTCTGGGTGGTGTCGAAGGCATTGAAGAGGTAATGGGCATATGTGCTGGCATCTGCAAAGTAGAGGGAAAGGCGGGTGAGTTGGGGGCCAGGCTCCACAGAGGGCAGAGACAGCACTGGAAAACAGGCAGAGGTGAGGTCAGAGAGAGGAGAAGAAGGAGGGACTGAGATCCATTTGCTCAGCCTTTTGAGTTTAGGTGAGAGGTTAATTTTAGCAAAAGGTTAGATAGGTTCTTGTCTCTCCACTTGGTCATCTTGACAATGGCTCTCAGGCCTGTTTCACTGGTGGATGATAATGCGGTGACTGAGATGCGATATCCTGAGCAGTGGTCCTTGCCATGACACTCCCTTGCGAGCAAAGACCAGAGCTTGGATCAAAGCTGATTCTATCTATCTGTGCCTGTAGACATCTAACGCAACACCTCAGAGCATCCATTGCACATATCTGTAATATGGGATGTAACAAGACCTGACTCTTGAAACACGTGGAAAAAAATACATTAAACCGACCTTCCCTGCACATAGTGAAAACTGTCTCTATGGCAGTCATAAAGTGGGAGTCTGGTGGTAGCATGAAATGAAGCTACCTCTCCACAACACAGAGAGAGGCCCTGTACTCAGTTCCACCCTAGGGAGACACTCAGGTACTGCTAGAAAGGCTCTTGAGAGAAAGGGCCCAAGAAGGATGTGGGACACTTGAGTCTATTCTGCACCTGTCCAGGTGACACCTGTGGACAGGTGACACAAGAAGGTCACAGGAGGAAGGATCCCCCGATGTGTGGAGCTGTTCCCAAGTGGGGAACAGTAGCCCTCAGTAACCTGGCTTTATAAATAAGTGCAGTTTCATGCTGCTCACAACTTATTTTCTTCATTGATTTTTTTTTTTATGGTCTGTATTATTTACTAATGTTGTTTGCAGAATTTCAACCTGTCTTAGCCATTTAAGGAACCAAGACGGCAAAGCTTTTGTCCCATATACTTTTCTATTTCTGGCCTGCCACATACAAGCTGTGTGATCATGAGCAAATTTCTGATTGTCTCTGAAACTCAGTTGTACCTTCTGGGATCACAGCACCTGCTTTCTAGAGCTGTTATGAGACTTTCTGATATGACATTATCGACCCTTCTCCTACAGCGGATCCATTTTTGTGTTTCAGAGAACTCTGTATTTTGCAGTAAGGAAAAGTCTCACCCTGATTTCTCCTCTGACTTCGAAGAAGACAGAGACAAAGAACATGGGAGTTGAGGAAGGGAAGGCTGATCACTGGAGGGGATTCTGGGAGGATATTTTTCAAGGATCTACTCACCTCCATGAGGGAAAAACTGAGCGTAGATCTGCTTGAATGTTTCTTCATTGACTGCACCGCTGGGGCACTCCTGCGTGGAGGAGAGACAGACTGAGTGGGAAGTACCGGGGAGCAGGTACCAGGGGGTGGCTACTGAGCAGGTTCCTCATGCCCTCTTCTAGGCAGAGCCTGGGGAAACACCTGTTTACTGGGCCTCTTCAGGGCGCCCTGGAGGTAACCTTATCGTGAAAAGCTAGTTTGCAAGTGGGGAGGGAAGTCATTACAGAATAGGTACTGTGCTGGAAGAGTCTTGGCTTTAGGGCTACAAAGGTCTAGGTTTGGATCCTGGTGAAACCTGTTCTAGCTTTTTGACCTTGCCCAAGGCATTCTGTGATCTTGAACACACTGATCTGTGGAGTGTGACTAACAGTTCCCTTTCAACAGGGCTAGTGCCAAGTGCCCAATTGGGCAACCACCTCCTAGGGCCCTGCTCCAGCTCAGCTGGCCACTATTAACATGGCCTCTTCAACATTAGAAGGAAGAGAGGAGCCCCGTGGTAGCAGACCAGACACCGTGACCAGCACAGTTAGCTATAGGACAACTGAGCAAGCCCTACCTGGAGGGAGACAACCAGATCACGTGGTGGTCTGCTCTTCTCCACCCAATGATTTGGATATATGATTGTGCTCTCTCTGAGATGTAAGCTTTAAGCCCAACTCCATGTCCAGGCTGCTCCAGAAGGCGGGGGGGGGGGGGGGGGAAGGACACGACACTCACGTGTGTGTCAGTTTTGAACTTCCTTCCTTGCCTGTGCCTTTGCTAAGAACTTGGTTCCCTGTGTGGCTCACAGAAAGAGAAGGTCCCAGCAGTAGGAGAAGAATTTTGGTCCCACTGATTTAACTTTCAGGAGAAATGAGCACAGTGACAAGTCAGGCTCATCCATCAGCCTTTGTGGGTCTTGTTAGCACAGATCAGTAGAGCTCAATCCCATTACTATTTGCTCACCAAACAGAGGGTCAAAGGTCAGCATCAAGCTCAGGTTGGCATCTGGGCTGGGAGGGGTTCTCTGAGGTCACACCACCCTGTGGTACTTCTCTACAGTGGTGTGGTTCCTGTCTGCTGAGGCCTTGCTTCCTGCAATCTCGCTTTTTTACCCAGTGCGGGTTCATAGTGGTGGCCTTCCTGGACCTCTGCACCCTGCGGACCTCCTTGGCACCTGAAAAGCTTAGTCAAGTGAAATCACTGCAGGCCCCCGAGCCTCTGAGGGTCTTACATTTTTGAATCCCCGGTAAAGGACTTGTAGTTCTCTCTTGGTGAAGTTCGTCTGGGCCTCGAGCTGCTCCAGTCCCTCAGGTCGGTGGCAAACCATGGTCATCTCTAGCTCATCCTCGATCTTGTCTGGAAGCAGAGGGGATGGCGTCAGAGCATGGCCTCCATAGTCTGAGCCGTTAAAAGAGTGATGTTGGGACCTGGGACTTTGGGGGTTGGGCTGGGTCACACTCCCAGTGGTCTTGGGCATGAGCTCCACTCCCCTGTCCACTTACTCTCTTTCACAGTCTGTCCCCTGTGTTACTCTAGGCGTGATAGACAGCAAAGGGGACAGAACATCAGCATCTCAGATAGGGAGATGAGGATAGAAATGTTCAAAACACATCCACACAGAAACATCTTTTCTTTCAAATTACCTTTTTTTGCATATTCAAATTGATGCACACTGGCTCTGCTTTCTATGCAGAGATACAAGTAACTGGTCAGAATGAGACCTTCCAAATAGTAAAGGGGAAGACATCATAGCTATTTTCAAAATGGGTCAAGTTTCACCATATGGGTTAGCAAAGGAGATGCTAGGGAGACTTAGTAGAAAGTTCAAATTATGGTATATAAAATATGGCTTTAAAGAATCTGACTATATTGTTCTATAATGTCTGCTAGATACCCGCGAGTACTAGGGAAGTGACTTCAACGTGAGCATCTGTGTATAACTAAAGGCTTCCAGGGTGTTTGAAAGGCCCTATGAACAGTCACAGAGACTAGGGTTTCAACTTCCAGCACGTGCGCTGAAATGGAGTATTGGTGCAAAGCTTGTTTGCAAAGCGCCTGTCAGCTGAACTACTTATCTTCCCTGGAAGCAACTCAGAGTTTTCACCCATCCGTGGGTGCTTCCAGGAGCTTAGCCTTGCACAGGGATAAGTGAGTGCTTACTTTCCTTTGGGCCCTGCCAGAATGCTTTCTGTAAATTTATTTCAGTCAAGGATCGTTTACCATCTACCCTCCTCTGCCTATTGCTGTCATACAGACATCAGCAAATCCATATATTGAACAACTCCAACTTCCACCTTGTGAAAACAAGGGTGAGATGGGCAGGCTGCTGGGAATGCAGGAACCGCTCTGCACTATGACAAGTCAGAGAGGAGGCAGGCTGGGTTCGCATCACAGAGGAGGATGAACAGGGTCAACAAAGGTAGGCTTTCTGTAATCAGGGCTGGGTTCTTTGTGCCAGATTCCCTCTGCTACTGTCATTTTCCCCTTTGATACTTAAATCCCAACAGGAAACAAATCCGTCAACATTTGTATCTTGTGCCTCAGAGTCCCAAAGGTAATGGATGTTGCAATAATGTGGTAGCAAAGCCTAATTGTGCTGGGCGCCACATATCACCTAATTCTTCTGGGATGGAAGCAGATAATGATTCAATACAAATAAGATACTCTGTTTGTGTTACATTGTGGCAAGTGGCCAATTTCCTCACAGTTCTTACCGAGCCTTTAATTATTGCTAGGATTGCAGCTAATGAGTTAAGTACCAATTACCTAAATGCAGAAGGTTTCTGTGTAAATCAAAGGGCCAGTGCCCCCCCCCCCAAAAAAAAAAAAGAAAAGCAAGGGAAAAGGGGAGGTTCACGTAAGTGTAATGCAGAAAGCTCGGGGGTGTCTCACGAGAACTCAGACTCACCCCAAGAAATCAGTTACTGCTTAGTCCCAGCACAAAAATGCATATGTCTTTAACTGTGTACGTTCTGAAGAAACTTCAGAAGGGGCTGTAGGTTTATAATATACCTCCCATACCGTCTCTCAAAGGTCCACTGGGCGAGGCCCAGAGAGCTCCCGTAAAGAAAGAAGAATTTAAAAACTATATTAAAAATAAATAAGAAAATGGAAAACTATGTTTTGGAAAGAAATGATTTGTTTTTGAAGGTGTCTACCTGTAAATATTTATCTGGCCCCGGAGAATGAAGACTTGTATGTGTGTGTGTGTGCACATGTGTGATACTGTACTGTTTCTTAATGTCCCTGTGGCCGATTCCTGATAACCAGGACTCACTTCCCATCACTTTGCTTAAAAGGTGCCGATTACTGAGACACTGACTATTAAACCCACTTTACTAAGGTGGAGAAGTTCTCCTTACTAACCGATGATAGGTTATCTGGGAGATAGGATTGAGCTCCAGATTAAAGAGATTCCGAAGGCTGTGAATACTCTGTCATTGATGGCCAAACTGTATTTTCCAGAGTTGCCCTGCACTAATGACCAGTCTGTGGCCACATCCGTGACTGGAGAAATTTGGGTCACTGGGGCTCAAGATGCAGGGAAGTAGGCACCTATGACTACTAGAGGCCTAAACCAATAAGTAAAAATGTAACTTATACAGCAATCCAGTACATGGATTGTACATTTTTTTTTGTGACATAGTTGAAGGCAAAACATCATGAGGCAATGCTGCCTTTAACTGATGTGTGATGGACTTTAGCCGTGGCAAACCCATGCTGATGTGACCCTCATGAGTCATGGCCTTTGATTGGAAAAATAATAATTTAACTTGTCCACAGCTTTGGAAACTGCCTAGACTTGCCCACATCTGGACATTCCACTCTTCCATACCACCTCGTAGCTTCATTGCTTCAGATAACTGCAAATATGTGTCTGTGTATATATATATACATCCGTCCTGTAGCCACTCAGGGAATCCCTGGATGTTTCTAGGCAGAACCAGTAGTGGGAGGACCCTGGACTAGCTTCCTGGTTAGACAAAACCAGAACTAATACATGGGGAGCTTCCTTGCTGTTTTGGTTCTTGTGAATCGTCAATGCCAAATGCTGCTTGCTGTTATTATTTTCATTATTAAGGATAACAATGAACTAATTATTAAGTCAGGTTGAGCTTGGAGCAAAACGAAGCTTGAAGTTAATGCTATGGGAATTTCTGTTGGATAAAAATCAATGAGAATTATTTTCTCTTTGTAATGCTCTTTTAGAAATCTGTCAACTGCTTTCATGTGGCTGTGTGTGTGGTAGCTTGAAATTTAGAAGTCAGTTATCTTAACAGAGAAGGTGATTTTTCTAATTCCAAGTGACTCTCAAGGTGATGGATGTTCACCACTCAGGGCAAACATGAGTCAGAACACTACATTGTGCAAGAGGGTACAGTGGAGAGCACCAGACAAAACAGCGTGTAATTCAGAGTAAACGGTTTTTAATATCTTAGGATTTCGGGTTATTCAGGGTCTAGGATGGATAAAAACTTTGGACCCTCTTAGAAAAAACGTATTGTATCTAGCTCCCTATACTGCCAGTGCGTTCTGGCACTATCTTTTGAACAGAGTCCATGCAACGGTCTTCTATTGTCATTCTTCTCCAAGCTCTGTCATTAACTCCTTTTGTCTGAGGCTTTGGTGACAGAGGGCAACAGTGACAAAGCTGGACCTTGATTCCAGCCAGGCCAGGACTCTTCTATCAGATTTTGCTACCATATGTCTCCATCATGGCTTCTACCTCATTAGAACACGGATGGTAAGCCAGTTTGTGAGCAGCCTTGAGGTACTTCTGCTCCTATCTAGCATCATGCCTGTGTACAAGCCAGTTCTCCACACCACAAGCACTGGGACCCACATCTGGGGGTGTATCTGGCACTGAAGTATCTTCTCTGGCTGATGACAAAGGCTATGGCCCAAAACTGTGACCATCTCCTGTGTGTGTGTGTGTGTGTGTGTGTGTGTGTGTGTGTGTGTGCGCTGGGCAGAGGGTTTGGACTGTACTTTATACCCACCCATCCACTCATCCACCCATCCACCCATCCACCCATCCACCCATCCACCCATCCACCCATCCACCCATCCACCCATCCTCCATTCCATTTTGAGGCTACAGAATAGTGATCCTTAGCTTGCATGTAGTCCAAAGAGAGTTTTTGTAAAAAAAAAAAAAATACATAGAAAGAAGCTCATATTTTATAGGAAAAAAAAATGAAATACATTTTAAACCAGTTGCCAATGTTAATAGACAAGAAATCCATGACCAGGTTTGCATTTCTGACTTCTCTTGGAAAATCTTGAGTCTTAAATTCTCACCAGGGCATTGTCTACTAGAGCTGGACATGCAGGGTCACCGAGTCACTAGGCCCTCTGTCATTTATCTAGGACTGTTTTTTTTTTTTTTTCCCTCCCTGTTTTGTTTTGTTTTTTTTTTGTCTTTTTGAGACAGGGTCTCTCTATGTATGCCTGGCTTTCTTGGAACCTGGCTTTCTGTAGACCAGGCTGGCTTTGAACTCAAAGATCCACCTGCTTCCACCTCCTGACTACTGGGATTAAAGGTGTGCGCCACCACACCCAGCTTCACCTCAGGTTCTTTTAATGCACTAATGCTGACTGCTTGGCTCAGAGGCAGTTGAGTATAGGTCTTGATGCAGACTGTTTCTCCTGCCCACTGTCTGCCTCTCTCCTGGCCGAGTCAAACAACTGTTTTTTTAGTCAAACAGACTGTGATATTTTCTCACACTCTACCTATTTAAACATTCCACTTTGTTTCATGAAGAGTGTGAAGTGGATTATAGGAACTAAATAATAGAATAGAAATGGATAAGGAAGAACTGTATCAGAAAGTGCTGATTCCATTCCATCAGGAAATGCTGGACCATGTTGGTGGAGGGGAGGAGAACAGAGAAATTCAGGTCATTTATTCTAAACAGTTAATATGCTTAAGCTACAACTCAGCTCCAAGCTTTATTTTACAGTTGTTCAACAGCCATGGAAGGAAAAATATGAGTCTCTTAGGGGGAGCAAGGCTTTTCTTGAACCTCATCCCTAAGAGAAACACCCCTGGCTGTTTCGACAAAGGCTGAGTTCTCTAAGCAGAGTAAAAAAAAAAAAAAGCTAATTCCAGAATATATACTTAATTGAGAAGTTTTTCCCTTTTCAAATTATGTGACCAACACAGTCAAGTTAGTGTAGACTTTTTTTTTTTTTTTTTTTTTACCTCTCTGATACTGGTAATACCACCACGCGATGTCTAGGAAAAAGTAAGAAAACATTTTACCAAATCCATTCATTTCAAAAGCACAACACACTTTTATTGTCACCGGAGCAGCACTCTGAGGAAGTTCTGGTCACCATCCAGCTTGAGGTAT